GGAGAGGGAGGTGGCGAGAGGCGAGCGAGGGCACTCGGGTTCCGGGCAGGCGGCTGCCGGGGAGCTCCTCCCCGCGGCAACAGTTGTGGGCCAGGGAGGGGGCGCCGACGAGCTGCGAGGGCCGAGGGCTCAATTCGAATCGCCGGCGTCCCGCTCCGGATCGCCACCGGCCGCCATCTTGTTTCTTCCTCTCTGCCTCGGATCGCTCCGCTCTGACTGGGGGAAGCGGCGGCGGCAGGCAGGCCCTGAGCGCCTCACGTGACCACAGGCGCCTGGCCTAGTCAGCGGAGCGCCGCCAGGGGGCGTCGGAGGGCAAGCGCTGCCGCGGCTGCTCTTTGCGGAACGCGGCCGCCGCCTGAGCCGTCCGCGGCCGAGGTGCGTTTGGCGCCCGGCGCGAGCACTTACTTGTTCATCCTCTGAGGGGGGGGAAAAAGCATCCCGCGCGCCCCGCGAGCCTCCGACACCTGTTACCTCCCAGCAACGATCACTTACTTGTTCCTCCTCTGAGGGGGGGGGAAAAAGCATCCCGCGCGCCCCGCGAGCCTCCGACACCTGTTACCTCCCAGCAACGATGCCAGGGGACCTTCTCTTTTCCCCCGCCCCAAACCTGTTTGCAACCTCAGTGGATACCAGGCGCTGCTCTAGGGCGGAACCGAAGTTACTACGCATTTGTATACAACAACTCGTAGAAATATGTGTGTTTCAAAGCGGCGCCCTTTTGTTTGCGTTCAGGCTTTAAATGGCTGCGCAGGAAAAGCGGAGCTGGTTTTTCAGCGGCTAGCCTGGAATTTTGCCCCTGCCGCCAACCTCTGCTGTTCATGTCTCTAATAAAAGACATATAATGGAATAAGGCTGTAGTTTTTGCAGAAACAGCCGTGTTCGCCTGTGCCAGCGTGTCCTGGGGGAGGGGGGAGCGGGGGAGAAAAAGTAAGAAGACACAAAAACGTTGTGGAAACTGGAAGACTTAACTGCCATTTTTTAACGTGAGCTTGTGTGGATTAAGTCCCCTTCCTCAGGATAAAGCTGGTTTTCTGTAGCACATATGTCAAATTACTTCACCATTGACCCCTGCGATTCTTAGTGCCACAGGCAGGACACCAAAATCTGGGTGGGATGAAGGTTTTTCTTGACAATTGCTAGGCATTTCCCCTCCTTCAACCCCCTGGGCTCCTCGAGGCCCACTGACCCTGCTCGCTAGGGATTATTCATGGGTGACCTTTTGCCATGCTGATCGTCACTATAGGCCCTAGGTGCTCCTGCTAATCTCCCATTTCCCCCATGGACCAAGTAACTACTGTATAAATTGTACTGTATACTGTATACAGTAGCAGAATACAATGGACCTTTCTCAAAAGAGAAAAAGAAAAGAGAGGAAGTTGGTGTTTTTTTAAAGATATGAAAGGTACAAGACAGGAAAAGGCAGAGAAGACTATATGCAACATAGTTGACAATCAGCTTTTTCATCAGACCATGGAATGGTTCCTATGTGGTAGGATCTGAGAAGCTTTTGCAATTTTCCTTAAGTGCTTATAAATATTTTTACAATTTCCTGCCTGGTTCACTGAGGTCACTTACAAATGTATTCCTTTTTATGAATACATTTCATTTTTATTTGATTCTGTTAGATTTTACACAGCAACAGCGGGCACATTAACAGTCGACAAATATTTGAGGATAGGGGAGGCATCCATCCATAGTGTGGCCTTTGCTGGACCTGGTCCTCTGGTAAATACCCATCTCAGCTGCAGATCTGAAACACACACAATCCATTTTAACTTAGCTTTAGGCCTGGTTGTGGGACAGAGATGGCTTTGATTGCCTTGGTGGACCCCTGTTGGTTCTGCTGGACCTGCCAGTGTCTCACAGTATCATCAACCATAGTATTCAGTTCTGTTCCCCATTTTGTTAACTGCCCAGAGTGGGCCTTGGCAGCCAGATGGGCAATATAGAAATTGAATAATTGAATTACTATTTATAACACTGACAAGAAACAATTAGAAGTTTTGTGGACAGGTGATGATAACACATAGTGAATCTAGCTCTCCTCTCCATCTGATTCTAAGGAAGCAGTATAAGGGCTTAAGCAGTATCTGATATTAGTGATGGATTGGATGGATGCAAACAAGTTAACACTTCATCTGGACAAGACAGATGTGCTCCTGGTCAGTCAAATGGCAGATGAGGAAATAGAACTCCAGCCTGTACTAGATAGGGTTACATTCCTCCAGAAAAGTCAGAGCTGCAGGTTGGATATTTCATTGTTGCAATCCTGAGCTTGGATGTACAACTTTCGGGGGGTGGGGGGTGGAGTACATTTACACAGCTAATGCTAGTGTGACAGCTGTGGCCATGCTTTGAGATGTTTGATCTCTCTACAGTGGCAGATGCCTTAATTACTTCATACCTGGATGACTGCATCACTCTCTACATGGGGTTGCTTTTTAAGAGTGTTTGGAAATTTCATCTGGTTCAAAATGCTGCAGCCCAGCTGCTGACTGGCACATGACTCCCCAGTTACATTAGCTGCCAGTCTATTTTCAGACACAATTAAAGATGAAGATCTGGGAAGCTTGGGTCCTTGCTCGCTGAAGAACCACATCACCTCCACATGAGCCTCCACAGCTTCTCAGATCTTCAGGGGAGGCCCTTCTTTTAGTCTCAGTGCCCCCCCCCCGGGCTTGATTGGTCAGGATGCAAGAAAAGGGCTTTTCAGTGGTTGCTCCCAATTTATGGAGTGCACTCTCTCGCAAAGCCAAGTTGACCAGCTCCCTCTTGTTACACCAACAAGCAAAGGGGTTATTTGATTTGAACAAATGGAGTATGAAGAACACTGCTTTGCTTCGTTTAGGTGTTTTAAAGCTGTTTTTAATTATGACTTTTAATATTATTGTGTTTTAATTGAATGTAAGCTGCCTCCAGTTCCCTATGGAGAAAAGGTGGCATATAAAATAAAATATATTGCAAAGAGAAAAGTTATTCTCAAAATAGTGAAATTGGATTAGATTTCTTGGAGTTTTCACACATTCTAAACCCAAACAGTTATTGTTGGTCCTGGAACTACTTCCAATACAACATGGCCTGCTTTGTTTCACAAGGGGTAATGTTGTCACTTTCAGGCACCATAAAAGAAAGTGCATGGCAGACACAGAGGTCATATCAAACTACCAGTTCTGCTTTCTGATAATGGTCCAGAACTCCAACAACTCCTTCCTCAGAATGCCACATTTGCTTTAATTCAGGATTTGACAGTACTAATTTGACCCGTCTAAGGACACTGTATGCAAGTATAACACCCAACCAAATAGCACACTGACTGCTCCTGGCAGGGAAGACCAACCAGTGCATCATACAAAATAAAATATTAAAAGGATGTTCAGAGTGAATCCAATGAACATTCTACTGCCTCCATGTTGGTTGAACTAGAGGAAGCCATAAGAAGATGTAGGAGTGGCAAAGCAGCTAGATTCAATGATAACTGTACTGAGCTAGTTAAGCATTTTGAACAAAACACAGAAAATGGCTCTTTCAGCTCTTTTTCAGCTGAATGAACAAATAAATTTCAAAGATATGGCCAAAGATTAAAGTAATCACTATACTGAAACCAGGGAAAGAACCATCAGACCCACCAAAAGCTATGGGCCAATCTCCCTGCTGTGCTACTTGTACAAAATGCTACTTCAACCATCTAGCCCTTGAAACTGAACCTCTTCTGTTTCCACAACTGGCAGGCTTTAGATCTGGAAAGAACTCTACTGCTCAAATCTTAAATCTAACCCAGCACATAGAAGATTATTTTGAAAGACGTAAAATAACTTGACCAGCATTTGTCGACCTTATAGCGGCATCAGCAACCATCAGCTGATACTCAAAAAGCTCTAGGTTTTTACGAAAGATCATGGACTAACAGAAATGGTTGCCATTCTACTTCAGAACTGAAGGTTCTTTGTTGAATTTCAAGGGAGGCAGTTGTTGGAGAAATCAAAGGAACGGTCTCCCACGGGGTAGCGTTATTTTTTTAAATTTACACAAATGATGAGCCAACATTCCCATATTCCAGGAGTTTTATTTATTCTCATGATCTTTCCTTGACAGACCAAGGGAAAAACCTATGAAGCCATTGCTTTGAAGCAAAGTAGAAAGATAAAAGAATAAACAAGAAAAATGGGTGGTACTTTGATACAGAACAAATTTTCTGTGATTGTGGAGAAATTCAATCAATGCAGCACTTATGTACATGCCATTCATACCCCACCATGTCATCAATGCAGCACTTATGTACATGCAATTCATACCCCACCATGTCTACAAAAGACGATCTAGTAAATGGCCAAGATCATGTGATGTAGCTCACCTTTGGTTAGCACTTATGTACATGCCATTCATACCCCACCATGTCTACAAAAGAAGATCTAGTAAATGGCCAAGATCATGCTATTGACGTAGCCCACCTCTGGTCAAAAACAGTCTAATTATCTTAACCTTTTAATTTGTTCTTAATTTTACCTATACAGTATTTCATATATGTCCCCAATAGAGATGGGGATATTTGTATTCATAAAC